CTCTCTCTCACACACACACACACACACACACACACACACACACACACACATACATCATTCCCTGCCCGATCGCCTTTTCACTTTCTTCCTTCTCCATTGCCTCCCTTCCGCCTGTCCAATTCCATCTTTGAGCTTGTGCCCTCCGTCTCACCTCCCGATCTGTCCCCCATCAATCCACGCCTATCCGCATTCAAGGCATGATCCCCGCCCACTCCTTCCCATAGCGGCCGTGCACAAATCCTGTCCCCATTGCAACATAGCACTCCCACAAAAAACGGAGTTGCAGCCCTAGACGAATGGAGGGAAAGATGGAGGAAGGAGGGAAGAAGGGATGTAGGGAGAGAAGGGGGTAGGGTTGGGTGGGGGATGGGGGGACGGGGGGGGGCGGGAAGGAGAGAGAGAGAGAGAGAGAGAGGGAGAGAGAGAGAGAGAGAGGGTGCACTTTTCGCACGCCGGGCGAACCGACCTATTTCGTTTCTGGGCCGAGTTTGACTCTCCGCCACTTCACGCACAACACCGCACACACACACACACACACACACACACAGAGAGAGAGAGAGAGAGAGAGAGAGATCCGCACGCCCGTTGGCACGCAGCTCGGCTCTGCTCGGCCTGCGATTCCTTTCCGGTCACCTCCGACCAGAAAGGAAAATCCCGAAGGGGCTGCCCCGAGAAGAGCCGAGAACTGTTGAGATATAGGCCTGAATTCTAGTTCCCTTAGCAAATAGGGATGGTCAGCTCCGACCAGAAAGGAAAATCCCGAAGGGGCTGCCCCGAGAAGAGCCGATGAACTGTTGAGATATAGACCTGAATTCTATTTCCCTTACCTTCTTTTAGCAAATAGCGGTACTCGCGTGACGCTGTCCCGCGAGACACTTTCCCCGCTGCGCCCAGCATCACGCGGATTTTTCCCTGCACAAATAGTTCGATATTGGGATTTCGCCGACACATGTGAATCCTCCCGCTGGAAGATACTTTGCCATATTTTTTGCAGCGTGGGCCTCCGTCCATTTTTAGTCCTTTTCCGGGGCGACGAGATGCCACAGCCAGCAGCCTCACCACATGTGAGAGCCTACCACTACTCGCCATACGCCAAGTTTGGCGAGTAGGCTCTTGGTTGCACTTACTCCCCAAACTTCCTACCACTACTCGCCATACGCCAAGTTTGGCGAGTACGCTCTTGGTTGCACTTACTCCCCAAACTTGGCGAATGCTCGCCACAGGGTCTACACAAGTTGGGGGGAGGGTTTTTGGTTTGCAGGCACGGACGCGTGTGCACCACGGTTTGTGGAGGGTGGTCCTCGGACATCTCCACAAAACAACTTGGTGATGTGAGAACAACAACTTCGTTAACAATCATCAATGGATACGACCATGACCAGGGGCAGACCAAGCTTGAGACTAGATCGGGGAACAACTTTGGGCCCACAATTCGTGGGGTGGAGATTGAAAAAAATGAGAATAGAAGTGGAGGCCTGGGGCCTTGACCCACTAGCCAAGTATATTACGACGGGTGACGTCTTTTTTGGATTTCTTTCGAGTTTTCTATCAGTTATTTTAATCGAAAAAGAAAATCGACGGGTTTTCTTTTTTGCACAACTTTTTGGCGCAAGCCTGTCAGGATCCCCGACTTTTGAGGGAAGCCTGCAATCCCGACGCTCGCTTCTGCTCACACTGCTTCACATATGTGTGGTAGCCGGGCTGTATCGGCTGAACGTTGTTGAACAAAGTGTCCTTGCACATTCTGTGGAATGTGGAAACAGGGACTTTTCCTGTCGCTTGCCCGTGGCTGGCGTCGGGTCCATTTCGGCCATGTCGTATAGCACTTCTCTTTTCGATAAGTTGGTGCGATTACGTGTTCGTTTGGGTCGTGCGCGAAAGTTGCTTGAGGGCGGCCTGTGCTCCCGCCTCCATTGGCGCGCGGTACGAATAGGTTCATTCGAGTCGAGGGGAGGGGGGGGGGGGGGGGGGGGTGGAGAGGGCATATTTTGGGGTTAACGTACGGGCAAAAGATTCTGGTGCGGTTTGAACCCTGTCTCTGCCCAAGA